TGCTGTTTAAGTTGGCATTGGGTCGGCAATCTGGCATGTGTTTCAGCTATGGAGGGAGCAGACGGCGTAGCCTGGCATAGCAGACGCCACAGCTGATGCAGTCAGCATCAAGCGCGCAGATGGCCCGAGGCCGCTCGGGCTGGCTCGGGACTTTTAGATCGCGTGCATGTGACGTAACCACCTGTGAGCCGAGGAGCCCACGGGCCGTCCGCGAGTGATCCGGGACTTGGTAAATCGATGAAGCTCACTGTAAGACGCCTTAAAAAAGCTTCGCCCTAAAGCGTCATAGTACACACTAAAACATGATCGTTGTGGTGAGTAGTGAAATGCAGCATATTATTCAAGCTTAAAGGGTGCCATAAGTATTATAAGCAACATTAGTACAATAAAAATTCAAAAACAGGCTGTGTAATCTTGAGCGTAAGTTTTGGCACGTGGACTTGTCATGTTGGCACGGCTGAAAGAAGGCAAGCTCACGTGCCCAAACGCCAACTCGATCATACACACCCTGTTTTTATTCGAAATCTTCTATCAACACCTTCCTGCAGTTTACTTTTTCCAATAACAAAGAAAGTGACAAAAGAAAGAAGTGTGCATTCAAGGGCTTGTATTCTTCGTTACACACAATTTTTAGAAGTAACAGACAATGATACGAAGATAAGGATAGGAGATATTATTAGAAGTAATTGTAATGTAAACGTGAAGAAAGAAAAGTGCTCATGAAGATAACTTGCCACAGGTAGGATCCGAACCTGCAACCTTCGAATAACGCGTTCGATGCTCTAACGCTAAGCTACGGTGGAGGTCATCCTTTCGTCCACTTTGATTGGACGTGTATGTTCAAAGAAACTTGGGAGCGTCCGTCAGTGCCTTCTGTGGCCATTTCGGCGCTTGTGAAACACACTTTTGGCCTGTTGACGTCACGTAGCACGTGATCTTGTTGTTGTCTTTAGCCTCCATGGTTACTTTTGTTTATCTCGAGAATTTTTGCACTTCTTAAGTTTATCAATATCTTTCAATCTCAAAACCTTTTGAAACAACTTCTTTCTATATTGCAGCTGTTCATAAATTGAAGGAGTGATGATTGGAATCCCAACGGTTTTTTTTTCGTTTTTTTTCACATAACTGGTAGGAAAGATTCGTCGTACAAGTTCAGTATCTTTTTCCTTAAATCTTAAAAAAGAGCCTAAGCGTGGTTTTCATTCGTAACTTCAGACGAGCGAGCGTCAGGCACGCTCTGATAGAAGATATTCATTTTAAGTACATCTATTCTTTTAAATGTGTAGAATATGTAATATATTTTTTCTGTTTCACTGTTCTTTTAAGAGACAAAAGATTGTTAAATTATTACTGACACCGATATAGGGAACTTGAAATGTTGTATCGTTTGACGCGCTATTAGTAAGCAAATATCTAATATTGCTTCATTCGCGCCGTGGTCTATGTAGCATCTTTTACGAGATTTTCACAACGGTAACTAGGCATAAGTGATGTAAATTTTCTTGCCGCATGCAGCGTTGTCTCACAAAAGCTATGTGTTAGCGCCCCCAGTAGCCAGAACTTGTATCGGGAAAGTTGACAGGCATGCAAGGACACGATCGGTGGATCTGTCCCGTTGCTGTTTCTGTGCACTGTTCAATTTCTGCTCTTTTCTTGGACTATTACACCTACAGCAAACGTTGAATCTCCCAATGACCGTTCCAACATCGCACACAGACTCACAGCCCCAAGGTCCTCACGCACTTCCTCGCGAAAAACTAACGTAGATTCTAAGTCTTTTTGTAATCCAGCATAGCATAATTCACGAATGAGCCAACCTTCCTTTCCAAATCAAACCTCGGGAACCCAATTTTAAAACTGCTGGGAAGGCGGTCGCCGTTTGTAGCACAATCCAGTGTATTCCACGAGGATATGCCCAAAGTGCATCTGGAAAATGCCAAATCAATAGTCGACTCAGAGTTACCTCTTACAAACGTAAGCAACGTGCGAGTTCAAGCAGAAAAAAACCATTATCAAGCGTCCACTCCCACAAACGTCCTATACACACATCAGATCCGACGCCCCGAGACACATGGTGCGAATTGAAATCACCACACAGCAATATTTCTTTTCTGCATGAAGCCAACATAATATCGAGGCACCTCGCGTCCCGAACTCCTGCAGGAAAATACACATTTGCAAAAGAAAAAGCCGAGAAGTCTGGCAGTGTCACGTCCAACACCAGAACTTCACAACTCGCACCGATACACCGACACAACATCCCGGCTTTGCGACTAAATTTTGTTGACACCAAGGAAGCCCTACCGCCACCTCCACCCGGCCGATCCAGCCGCACCAATGGACAATTTTTCATGCAAAATCTTTTACCATCAGCAAGCCAGGCCTACCGAATGGCAACCTTGTCGAGAGAAATTGGCGAAGAAACACATTGTGAATCTGTAGTTGCCGACCAAATAAACCGGCAATTTCACTGCAGAACCCTCAGCAAACCTACTTTGATGCCATACCAGCAGAAGAAACCGCCTGATGCAGAACATCGTTTTTCGAGAAATCACCCTTTGAAAGGTTCTCAAAGAAGTCGTTCTTGGACAGGCACTTCTTGAATTTTGGGTTCTGAAGAGACTTTTTAGAAGGGGGAGTTCTGTTACATTTCAAAGTCATTTGAGATTCTGTGTCCGCATCTGTAAAGTCTCCTGAATTATCCGTCACAGGCTCCAACTCAGCCCAAACCACATTTTTAGAAGGTCCCGCTTTCGCAGAGACAGATCGATGAATAACTGTCAGATCCTCCTCCTCTGTCCCCCCGAAATCAACAGAGCCTGCAAATCCCAATTTTGCACAGAAACTGTAGCTCAGCAGAGTCTGCAGGGCGCGCTCCATCACACAAGCAGCACCCCGGTCATCAGATCTGCAATCGCGGCCGTCATGACTCTCTCAGCACAGACGACATCCAGCCTGTAATCTGCATCCCTTCATGCTGCGGCCAAACCACCCACGTTCCGAGCAGTGCAAAGGCTTCGGGGAAAGTGGCTCCACTTTGTAGACCAGTGCCCATGCCCCAACTTCTGTTGGTCTGACTCCTCCCGCAAAAGCCACCACAACCGATTCAGCAGGCGATCCTGTTTTATCAATCGTTCGGGCGCATCGACAGACCGAAACTGCCCCAGCTACAGCAAACAAGTCCAGAATTTCCCGAGGTGCCAGACTCGCATCCACCCCATGGACCATGCCCCTCGCACATGCAAGATGAGCCGGAACAAACGGGCTCACCGGCTGTGTAGCAAACTCAGAGCAATTTAGAAGCCCCCGGACGCAATCATGGTCCGCAGAGCAGCACAGGACACCACCCCGGCCGAACTGGCAGACCCCAGTAATGCTGTGGAAAAGCGACGAGGCCTTCCGAAGCTACATCCGCATCACCTTCGGATTCTTCATCGGAACGGAACCCCCATCCGCAGGAAACAGAGCCACAGGGACGCAGTTATCTCCACCATGCAGCAAGGCATCAAGCGGCCGATGCCTGACCGGCTGCGAGGCCAGCCAAGGAGAGTGCCCTCGACCAGGGGACGAGAAAGACACCAGAACACTCTGACTTGCCTGACCTCCAAAGAGCCACAACAACGTTTCAGCCGAGAGAAACCATCAAGGAACACGAGGAATCAAAAGCAAACCAAATTCCAGCTAAAAAGATCCTGCCGCTCAAGCTTGAGCAGACCACCACCAATGGGTCCTCGTTCTTTCTCCGCTCACCAGCACCAGCTACTGTAGGAACGGTCGACTGCCATCGCGACTCGTTTGTTGAAGAGGATGGAGAGTGTGAGCAACGCTCTATTCGTCGTCGTCGTCATCATCAGCTTAGTTCCACGAGCATGTGGCGTGCAATAACTTCGATGGGAAAAAGAACGAGTATACAGAGATAGAAAGACTGAACGAGGTAGGGAGAAAGAGATAGAAAGGCTGAAGTTGAGAAAAAGGAAGGGAAGGAGTAGAAACAGAAAGGCAAAGATAGAACAAAGCAGTGAGAAATGACTCGATTGATTGATTGATTGATTGATTGATTGATCGGGCTATTGATTGATTGATTGATTGATTGATTGATTGATTGATTGATTGATTGATTGATTGATTGATTGATTGATTGATTGATTCGTAGGCTCTAGCGTCCCAAAGTCACCATATCATTGTAAGGGACGCCACAGTGCAGGGCTCCGGAAATTTCGACCACCTGGGGTTCTTTACCGTGCACCCAAATCTGAGCACATGAGCGTGCAGCATTTTCACCTCCATCAAAAATGCAGCCGCCGCAGCCGGGACTCGATCCCGTAACGTGCGCGTCAGCAGCCGAACCCCTTAGCCCCTATGCCACCGCTGCAGGGCCCATAAAAAATGGAGAAATAAAGGGAACAAAAAGAACGATAGAAGCAGCGAGAACAAGATAAATGGATAGTGAAGCAGAATGAAACAGAGATAAATAATAATGATTGATATGTGGGGTTTAACGTCCCAACACCACTATATGATTATGAGAGACGCCGTAGTGGAGGGCTCCGGAAATTTAGACCACCTGGGGTTCTTTAACGTGCACCCAAATCTGAGTACACGGGCCTACAACATTTCCGCCTCCATCGGAAATGCAGCCGCCGCAGCCGGGATTCGAACCCGCGCCCTGCGGGTCAGCAGCCGAGTACCTTAGCCACTAGACCACCGCGGCAGGGCACAGAAATAAATAGTAAAACAGGCAAAGTAAAGGGACCAAAAAAATAAAGAGAAACAAGGCGAGCTGCTCAGATATACTGTTTTTTTTTTTTTTCAGACTTAGCACCACTACTGCAAACGTGCAAATTTTTTTCTTGTTTTTTGGCTTCGTGAATTTTTTTATTTAGAAATATAAAACTTCGCGTTACAGCTCGGTTCATTAACATTTGTTAATACCAGCTCTGTGGTCACAGATGTGCTGTACGCAGCTAGTGTTTATCAGACCAGAAACATTTTTCACTCACTCAGTTGAGCATCGATGACGTACGGAATGATTCCCTTGGGCCACAACTCGTCCTTCTTAGTAACAGCATTGCGCTGCGCCATAGAAAAGACAAGTCGCCACAGCTGCGTTAGCAGTTCAACGAAATAAGAGGAATTCAGGGGCTCGTTTTTTTTATGTGAGACAGAACTTTCAGTATCGGGATACGATAATGCAAGAAGGTGCATGCTCGTCCAAAAGTCTGTACATTACACGTGGTGGAACCGGCAGGAAAGAAATCCGGTAGATCCCACACATTGTGGGGATCGATGTAACGCGAAGCAGCCAGAGGAGCGAATCACACTGTACATAACATGCATGTCATGAGTTACAGTTTAGGGCCTGTCATTTATGTTCGTCATACAGTCACGTCGGGCAATACTGATTTCGGTGTATATCGATTTAGCTAGGAAACTAGACCTAAGTGCACCACGAGCGTGGCATACAAATCACGTCGCACATGGCATGCATGTCACGATTTTCATGTTTCCACCTGCCTTCTATCTTCGTAATGCCGTCACGTCCCGCATTAACCATTTTGGTGCATATCAAGCTAGCTAAACGGCCGTGAGCACGCTATGAGCGTGGCATGCCGTTCGTACTGTAGTTGACATGTCACAATTTTAATGTTAGCATTTGTCCATTATGGTTGCGACATAGTCACGTCATGCAATACTGAACTTGTGTATCAAGCTAGCCAAACAGCCGTGAGCGCACCATGCGCGTGCAATGTATATCATGCTGTGCATCACGCCTAGGTCTCGCCAGTCCATCCTTTGAAAGCGTTTTTTATTGCTATGTCAATTATATGGATACTCTAGGCCGGATTTCACCGCCAGCGTGGACGTCGGCGTCGATGTCATGCACTGTATATGTATATATATATTATATATATATATATATATATATATATATATATATATATATATATATATATATATATATATATATATATTGACGACATTTTCCTAATCTGGCACCATAGTGAATTGCAACTGCTTTCTTTCATAGCAGATCTTAACAACGCTCATACGGCGATTTCGTTTTCGCACTCGTATTCACCTGTGAACATAAGCTTCCTTGATGTCATGGTCACTCTACGTAACGGGAAGCTGATAACTAATCTTTACAGGAAACCCACGGATAGGCAGCAATATCTTCACTTTAGTAGTAGCCACGTGAAACACAATAAAACTAGTATTCCCTACAGCCAAGCAGTCCGTCTTAAAAGAATATGCTCTGATAGCAGCGAATTTTCCCGCCACTGCGAACAACTTCGGAGCGCGCTCGAAAAACAGAGCTATCCGGCCAGCATAATCACAGACGCCATCAAACGTGCAGAAGAGCTCGACCGTTCAGACCTGCTGAGTACTAACAAAACACCCAAAGATTGTTCGCGGACTAATCTAATTTTGACACATGCGGCCTCAGCTCCAAATGTGAACCATATCTTAAAGAAACATTTGAACATTTTAATACAGAGCGAGCGTCGCAAAGGAATCTTTCCAGAACAACCACGCGTGGTCTACCGACGATCGCGGAACCTTCGTGATTTACTAACCTCATCTAAAACCACCTGTTCACATGAAAGCTGTCATCCCTGCAACAAACCACGTTGCAAAGTGTGCGCGCACATGACGACATCTAAAACAGTTTTAAGTACATCGTCCAGTTTTTCTTGAAAGATAAATGGGAACTACACGTGTGATAGTATCAACGTCATCTATCTTGTCGAGTGTTCAACATGCGGAGCTCAGTACATAGGTCAAACAGAGACAAGTTTCAGAATTCGTTTTAATAATCACCGTGCACATGCCGTAAGCCTCCCTAATCTACCGCTGTCGAAGCACGGCAGTATGCCTGGCCATGGTTTCGACAAAATTAGGGCCACTATTATTCAGTTCGGTTTTAAGTCAGATCACGATAGGGAAGTGAGGGAATCCTTCTTGATCCCCAAATTTAACAACATTAGTTCAGATATCAATGAAAACGTAGGAAAGCTCACCTGCCTCACACTATAACAACGCGACATCTTAGAATAGTAAAATATTTTAGTGTATATTAAAATGTATATTAGTCAACCGTGGTTTCTTTACTTCAGAGCTCTTTTACATGTCCTGCCAACCATACTGTGCCCCGCGTGTCGATGCGCAAGGAAATTTGAAACTTGTATATTCATGCACCCACCGCATGTCTGTCATGTCAACACATGGTTCTGACAGATTACCATTTTTTTACTTTGATTGTCCTAGCTGCTATACCGAGAGTTTATCACGTGAGCCTATAAAAGCGGCTGCATTGTATCATACCTACTTACTCTGACGAAGGCCGTGCCATGGCCGGAACGTTAGTAAATACGATTCCCTTTTCAAATGTGCTATCTGCAAGTTCATTCAATATAGAAAATACCCGGACCTGTCGTGCCTTCCCTTCAAGTTCTTATATATATATATATATATATATATATATATATATATATATATATATATATATATATATATATATATATATATATATATATATATATATATATATATGACGTATAAACCGATGGTTGGTAGAAGGAGAGAAGGAAGAAGTCAGAATGAAATAAACATGAGGTATGAGCCAGGCCACGTCGCCCACTCATCATAGCGTCACACGAGTCGACAGGATGAAGACTGGCCGCCACTCATCAGCCTCGAATCATTCACGAATCTACCGGAAATACGCCTCAACTGAATATCGACCACAGAAGAGGTGATCTCAGGCGCATGCAGTTACCGGTATCATGACAGAACCATCGACTGACCTTCCCATCCCCAAGTACACCGGAGCAGCGGACAATGGACCTGTACAGGACTGGTTCGACGTGTTCGAGCTCCACGCTACCGCTGCATCTTGGTCGGAACGGGAGATGGTGACGAACTTCAGCGACTACGTCTCCGGTGAGGCCTTCAAATTCTACCTCACCCACATATTTCAAAACGACGAGTCAAGGGAAAAGATCAGAGAAGAGATGATTACCCGTTTTAACGACTATGACGAGGACTTCCTCATTACCGACCATCTGCACACAACAACCCTCGGCCGTCACAATCCGCGCTCATTTCTCAAGGAACATAGCCTTCCACTACGTTTCTCTTCACGACAGCCGGTGTTTTCAAAGTCGTCGCTCCAGCGAATGACACGAGAGGTTGCTTACCCACCAAATCCACTTTATTCTTCGTCTCGAATACGTTGTCCACCACCCTGGTTTCATTCACGCGGCTCTTTAAGGGCTCCTGACGCTCCCCGTTTGCCTCATAAGGACGCCGTGTTCACGATAGACGAGCTGACGCACCGGGAAATTACCCTGTCAAGCCATGCTCCCTCCACACGGGTTCATGCATTGCCATCCGCTGCATACACACTCGACAGCCGACGCAACACCGAAGGCTCAGACGCATAGAACGTCGCACACTGCAATGTGCAAGAGCCTCTCGTAGTGAACAGGGTAGAAGAAGCTTCTGAGGAACTTTCTACCAACTCTGAAGCATTATCTTCATTGCCCGAACTGCATGACAACAGCCCACAGACTACCAGCTGCCGACTGGGCACCACTTCAAGTTGTCAAGGAAACCAGCGTGATGTTCAAGAAGGGATCACATCGCAATACGTTTCACAGCAGCATCACCAACGCGAGCAAAAGCACGTTCAAGAATCGCAGACACTCCAACGGATACACCGACAAGGACGACGACGCAAAGCAAGCCTCTTACAGCAAATTCAAGACGTGAGGCATCTTCGCATATTGGATCGGCGCCAGAAACGCATTTGGCGCAACAGATCAAGACTGCGCCTACGAAACCACAGAAAACGACGAAAGAGACGAGAAGGCACCATCTGTACAACGCAGAGACCAAGACATCATTCTGATTTCATCACCTGCAACCATCGCACACGCAAACTGGAAGCACACCATCTGTTCCCGCCACGACACACAACTCGACGCATTCAACATCCACTTTAAATGCTACAGGGACTCCCACTCTTGTCCGTTCCTCGCAAGAACTCAACCCATGTCAACACCAGTGCAGATCTCTAGGGTGTGGTTATGCCATCTAGAACGCAACAGTCAGCCTAACCCACCATAACTCTTGCATTAACCGGACTGCTGCACTCCCCACTGAAGTCTTTGAAAGTTTACGGAACTCCCCTCGAGCATAGAACCAATTGTGACTTTTGACATTCGTGACTTTTCAACCTCTCCTTGTTTAATTGTTCTTGTTCATAATTCATGCCTTCTTTCGGGGGAAGGGGGAATCGTGTGACGTATGAAGCGATGGTTGGTAGAAGGAGAGAAGGAAGAAGTGAGAATAGAATAAACATGGGGTATGTCATAGCCAGGCCACGTCGCCCACTTATCATAGCGTCATATATATATATGTATATATATATATATATATATATATATATATATATATATATATATATATATATATATATATATATGTGACGCTACGAAGAATGGGAGACGTGGCCTGGCTCATACGCCATGTTTATTCCGTTCTGCTTCTTTCTCCTCTACTTCACCTAACCATTTCTGCCTTCTTACGTCACAGGATTCCCCCTCCCCCCGAAAGATGGCACCGGTTACAAGCTACAACAAATTACAGAGAATAAACTAAATAACGGCCAAATTCACAGTTTCACGTCCCGACAGAGTTTCACAATCTCACTAAATCTTCAAGGCCGAGGGAGCTGTCCGGCGATTTTTATGACGACTCTGGTGGACGAGCTTGACTGTTGCGTTCCGGACAGAGTGGGCTACACATGAACACTGACAATACTGCTTGAACTGTTCTGGGGACTGAGCAAGGTTGGAACGCATTGTTGCATCGGCAGCTCGGATGTCGTCGGGGTTGTATTTTTCGTCGTGAATGGTGCAATCCCGGTGCTTCTTGCTTTCGTGCTTTTTGACAGACTGTGACGAAGTGCCTGAGTGTTTGCGGTGTGCAAGCAGTGCTTTTGCGTCTTTCTCGGCGTTTTCTGTGGTGGTGCAGTCGGTGTAATAGCAGGTGCAGGGAATGTTTCT